AGGATCTGGCGTCGAGTTATCTGTAGGATCTGGCGTCGAGTTATCTGTAGGATCTGGCGTCGAGTTATCTGTAGGATCTGGCGTCGAGTTATCTGTAGGATTTGGCGTCGAGTTATTTGTAGAATCTGATGTCGTCGCAGCAAAAACGAAATTGCTGAATGTTAAAATGATGAGAACAAGTAATAAAGCACGAATCTTCAGATACTTCATAATGAATTTGAAATTTGAATAATCAAATTTTTTGAAAGATATTGAGTCGCATACGTGTATTTATATATCATATCTTTTATAGTTGTGAACACGATTAGAGTTTAGTGAGCCGACCCAAAACGACAATATAAAGAATGTGCAACGTTGGCTTGCTTTGCTAAAATAATTTTATTTTATACATGTAATGCACCTATGTTGGTCACTGGACTTGCAAAATTACGCCAACATTCTTTAGACGGTTTGCACTACCTAAATTCACGAATTGTATTGGGGAGATTCATTTCTAGAGCGATAATGCGTAACATACACATAAAGTTTTGCTGATTGACCCCATTGTCATGTATGGAACTACATGTAATTTGAGTATTTAACGTTAATCTCCTCATTGTCATGTATAAACTACAATGATTGTTTAACTTAAACCTCATTGTCATGTATTAAACTGCATGTGCAGATACGATATCGATATTGTAGAACAGCGTCTAATTTTAGAAATTACTAAAAAAGTAAATTGTTAAAAGTTCGTATAATTCATCATTTCTTCGTTGCGTTAATATATGCGAGCGTATACGGCTGTTACGCACATGTATTAGAAACTAGTTATGATACAGAGATACGTTCTACAGTATCATTTGTAATTCGGCGATTTAACCTAATCAACGCAGTTGTTATAGAAGTTTACGATTCACTGATACATGATTTAACTGATCAATTAAAAGTTGAGATTCATTAAAGATTTTTCTATTTACACACTTTAGAATTTTCTCTTTATAATCTTTATTTACTATGTCTATAAGTCATTCAAGTCAAAATAAAGCGAAGAGATAAATGTTAATTAATTGACAAATCACTGGTTCACAACTATTAAAAACCTGCCAGAAATGATGCAATCGCCCCATTTAAATTACTATCAAATAAGTACATTGCAACCTGATATCATTACCATCGGCAGACAAATCGGGAGGTATCGCACAATCTATTTTGAAATGGCAATATAATAAAAAAGGTGGATTTCCTTGCAAAACTATGTTGATATTAGAGAGCGAATTTACTTATGAAAATAAGATTAATGAAACAAAATTATTTGAATTATCCATAGTAGCACTTATGAGAACGGTCATTAATGTTCCGTTAATTCCGGCGAAGGAACTAAATGATTTTCTTCAACTACTTAAGACTGACGGAAATAAAGAAAAAGCCAAAAAATTTCTTCAAATAAAAAAATTGGTTGTGATGTTAAATTAAAAGAAGCTTGAAAAGAAAATGAGCTCACAAGTTTCAAATTTATCATGAAGAATTTTTCTTTAATAATTATTCTCACTAGTCTAACTTTAACACTTTCATTTTTTGTTAAGACGTTTTGGAGAGGGAAAAAGACGAATTGTTTGTTGGCCTTATTTCTTGGCAAACTTATGTTAACGAAAATTTCCCAAACACACATCTTTTGTGGCAAGACCAAACAGGTTAGCTTTCCGTACGAGGAACTACATTTCGCAGCGAAAGTCTTAACTGAGGATTTTATGTATGTAATTTTATAATAAACTGAAACGAATTTTTCAAAAGATTAATATATATAACTTTATTAACATATACAATCACCTTTATCATTAATGCAGGCTTTAATCTGAGTCTAAAAATCCGCCTATTTTTTAATATATAAAGTAATTTTCCATTACTTGTCAGAATGGAATGAGAATACAATCATTGAATTCCTCCTTGATGATATGATTCTAATAGTTTATACTATTAATTTCATGTCAAAATTTTGGAATTCTGAATGCATAATGATAATTTTTCAACAAATTTGAATTATGAGCGCTTAAATCCGAATTTAAAATTTATATCTAACTTCTATATTTTTCTTATAAAAATGTTAATAGTTTCTAATTATTTCGATTGCTTAAAATACTCAAAATTTTAATAATGGTATCCACATATCAAGTTTGAATATTTATAATATCTATTTTTGATATTTTCTCTTATCGCTCAATAATATTATTATCTTGGCTTGTTAATATATTAATACTATTCATTATATTCCTAGTAAAATTGCATATTTATGTTTTCAGGGTATTTCAATAAGAACTTTAATGAAGCACGACCATTAAATTGTGAATGGCAGGTATCTTTTCAATAACACTCTGAGAGACTTAAATTTATTCTAGACATATTTCCGAATATCTGAAATTCGTTCTTATATTTTTTAACTTATTATTGTATAGATTAATATGTCTGAATGAAGGTAAAGTTTTATAAAATACTAACATAGTACAGTCACTATAGGATATCTTGAAAATGAAGCTCTATATATTGACTTATTCGAATCAATCCAGGAGTATCTTAAATTTAAAATATTCTTTGAGTAAAATCTTTACAAATGCATTAAGTTAAGAATATCAACTTACTTCAGAGCAGAATAATCGGCGCAAATGGGAAAAATTTACAGCATCATATTTATTAAATATCAATGTTTCGGAATAGTCATTTATAAACAGAATTATAATATTATGAAAATTTTTTGATATTCACATCCTTTGAAACAAGCAGATTCTAAAAATCGCGATTAGCAATTTTAACTTAAAAAGATACAGATATTGTATAGAAGTTAAAGTGATCAGAAAATGAGTATTTACGGACGGAAAAAGGAGCTCGGATACATTGACAACCATTCATTTTAAAGATCAGGATCGGTAAATACAATTTATTACATCACGGCCACGGTTTTAAAATTAAATCAAAGAAACATCTGATTCAAACCTATCTTTAGAGCGCATTAAAGAAAACTAAACACATCGCTTCTATTTTATCCAAACATACTAACTTATGAAATCTACTCTCTGATTTACTATCATGATTCGCATCATTTTGTTTGAAGTAGCTGTGGTGCTATAAAGGAGCCAGGGCTCTTTAATATAAATGAAGTATTATAAGAAGAAATTCGCTCAAATTTTATATAATATTATATATACATGTATTATGAACAAAGCATTATATTTTTAATCTTTTTATTCTTTTCGCTGTTTAAATAAAATCAATTTTATTAATCTTAGATTTTTATTTATAAAAAATTTCTGACAGTAATATCAACGGGATCAACAGGACTACATATATGTATTAAAAGTACGACTTTGCAAGCTAAATTCAATACGTAAAATACATGCAAAGAAAGTGTAAATTTAAATTGAAACTTCTAAATTTGTAGTTATAGATAATAGACAAACAGAGAAATAATATTATAATTATCATATGAGTACTTTTATCTATTTTTAACGACAATTATTTATTCGGTATCTATACATAGCGGTTAATTATAACGTATATAAAACATGAAATAATGATAAACCAAATTCCGTTATATCGAGTTTTGACGTATGCGAACTTCATCTAAATTCACATCACGATTCTAAAATATTAACACGAACGATTTATGTGCTTTTGTTATTTCTTTGTATTTAATTTCATGCTAGCGTAATTCAGTGATAAATCAAAAAACACGTCTTTTCTGAAGGAAGAAAATCTTAAGTGTTAGTAAATTTTTTTCTTTTCTTTAGCAATGCAGCATCATCATTAGATATCCTATTCTCCCTAAATCGTTCAAACCGAATAAACTTCTTACACTAATTTTAGTAAACGATTGATCTCTATTAATGTCAAAACATGTTTTTTGAATTACTGACTAATTTTCACGACAAGTTCATAATGGAGATAGTTTTAATTTACATGTCGAATATTCCCAATATATTCAGTGATCGCATAGATTTAAATTTCATCATCATTAATTTCGGTAGCTTAAAAATTCAGTCACGTCAGGATTGAATATCTAATATTACATCCAAATGAAAAGCTACAACAATAATAAGATCTGATATGATGATATTACATGTATAATTCATTGAGAATCACTACTTGCAAAGTATTAATAGCAAATTAAAAGGGAATACTTATGTCCATTCTACTTACCTGCATCACGAGCCTCGTCTTCATCCATTTCTTCGGGGTTTATATTTATCGTAGTTATCAACGTCCAGTGGTTATATCTTGAGCTCACAACTTCCACGTTTGTGATATTGTCCTTCAAAAAAGGACAAATTATTTGCCTTTGTGGCTCAACCTTTTTCGAGTAGAAGGCCATTTCAAAACAGAATCTCCAAAAGCTATAAATTTTTTAATAATAGTTACGCAATCATGTCGTCTATTCTTTGTAATATTGCGTCATTCTCCCGAAAAGAAAATATATAGAGTTCGTAGGTATACATCTTAACTTCCCTAATCCATAAACATGACAAATAGGTTTCTAAAGAAAGATGAATTAAATCTTGAGCCAACCTTCGAAGCATACGATTGCTTCATTGTTCTTCATCGTAAAACTATTCGAATAAGACGACTATTAACCCATCCGTAAGTGGCTATTTTATTATGGATTTTCCTTTATAGACTTAATTATTTTGAAAATAATTTCCAAATGCCATACATGCTTTAATACGTGAACTACTATTTTCAAAAAGTATGTATCTTTGTGAATTATGTAAATTATGATTTATTAGATAATTAAATTAATTATGGTTAATGATAAATATAATAATGATCGTCTCCAATAGTAGATAAGATCGATTTAGAGCCTTTTCCAATGTCGGATGGATAGCTCAGTCGAAAACTTCTTTATGTCTTTGGTTCTTGATTGGGGCTTCTAAGAAATCTCGAAAAACACAATTCCAAACGTTCACAGGCCAAAACGAACAGAATCCCGAATGAACAGCATCCTGAAAGATCGAATCCTGAATGCACGAAATCCCGAAATCGTGATAATTTAGTATTTCATGCATTTTGGGATACGTGTACTATTCTTTCGGGATTTCAATCATTCGATATGCTATCCATTCAGAATTTCGAGCATTCGGGATTAGGATTTCGACCATTCAGGCTTATGAATGTTCAGAATTGTGTTCTTTGTGATTTTGCTTGATTGGTCATTATGATCTGCATTGGACTTTTTATCTTAGTTACATGATCTTTTTGATTTTTTTCCTCGATATCATTTTTATTGATCCGATTATTTTTCATGTTGTTGGATTTGTCGACAATCATCCGTTTTGTTGTCCATTGCAAGGCTGGAATTTGGAGTTTGGATCACACCATTATTTACGAGTAGTTTTTTAATAATTTCTAAATATCGTTTAAGTTTTCTGGGTTTTGACAACTTACTTCATTTTGTGCTTCGATAGTATTAGGTTACTCAAGAGGTTTCTAAGAAAAAATTTGTAGTCAGTAAGATGTCTGGTTCGAGTGCTGCATGGATATTGCCATACTTCAAAGTTTTGTTGGATCTCAATTCATTTTACTGCTTTTCTTGGAGGGTAAATTTATAATCTCTTGTAATAATTATTCATTACAGATTGAGATTAATGGTCAAACAATTCTTTTTCTTCATTAATTGAGATATTTCCAGAAAATCCATCCGTATGTTTGTTATTGTTCACAATATCATACCATTTGTTTCGAATGGCAGTAACTCCTTCTTTTGAATTTTTCACTTTGTTTAGTAAGAAACAATTAGTACTTGTTTTAGCATTAAAACTTATACCAACATTTTCCTATTCCGGTGAATGTTCAAGGATGATGGTGATTTGCCTTTGCAATATCACTATATTCAATAATCCTTCTCATAACATTTTCTTCTTTTAATAAGCTAATTCTGTCTTTTGCTTCATGTATTGTTCATTCCCGTTTTTAGCTTTACATATCCAATATCGGGATTCACAATGAAACACCAGAAGTAGGCAACGTTTTTCTAAAATGAGCGATAATTAGTAGTGTTTAAATACGACGATACTTTCCTATCGAAGTGTGAGAGTTCCATTTTTGGAGTGGTTCCGGAAATATTCATATTAGTGATTGATATGAGTGGCGTAAAGTATATATTTCTTTGAGTATGATTAACAATTATTTTCACTAATAAGCACCACATCAGTTTAAAAATCAAACCTCTCAGCTATTTTTATTATAATTTGTCAATTAAAATCTTCCGAATTTAAGCAGCACTCACAAATCCACCAGAAATAGGTTCAAAAAAGGTGAGCTTATAACTGAAAGAAAACGGCATGTCGTAATAATTCTTCAAATGTTATTTGAAAGCTGATTCTTTGCTAAAAGCAGTCTTTAATCAATATGTTCGACATTATCTAGTGGATTTTAATTTTACAGCCAGCAATTGCGCTTGCATTGCATTCTGATTTCGAATTACTTGTATTAATTGGTATGTCTAGTTTTCTAATTGTTGCTGGAAAAATTATACAATTTTGATTACTAATAGTCGTATATTCCAATACAGATTTTGTCGTCGTCTGCTTTTCTGTATTAACGCTAAATATCCGATAAAAGTCGAAATTCCCAAATCATAAAATCTGAACGTTCATTGGCCCCGAAAGTTCGACATCCCGAATTCCGAATGTACGAAATCCCAAAAGTATAATACATGTATACATGTACCATGAAATACTAAAATTATCACAAGATGTCGTTCATGCGGAATTTTGTACATTTGGGATGTCGTTCATTCGGAAATTCGTGATTCGGAATGTCGTTCATTCGGGTTTTCGTGATTCGGGCTTTCGAGCTTGTACCAGATCCCTAAATATCTTTGGTTAGTACTTTAAATAATTTCCTTTTTCAGTATTATTTTTTTTAGATATTGTATTCTTTAATTACTTTAGCTGATAACGTATATTCTTTTGGGTAAATTCTTGAGGTTTCTTCGTCCAAGAAAATTTACTCGGCAATTTCTTTTTTTGCCCGCTTTTGCTTTTGAGCGGTAACACCGGAACAGGAACATTGTTATAATTGCTTTTGCAGTAATATTTTGGATAGCGGTAAGTAATGAAAAATCCATTGTCAGGCGATGCGGTGACCTTGAATAAGTGATGATAACGGTAATTGTAGATATGGGTTTAAAAAATTATTGCTAATAAATTGCAAGATCAGCATTTGAGTTAAAAAGATCTTGAGACAGAATAAGCTGACCCAAATCCAATCACTATGTGAAATACGTAATACAAATGAAGATATGACTCTCACGTTATTTAAGGTCATTTATTCATGTATAAAAATTATAGAATGATGCTCCGGTCCTCATTTATGCATAACGATAACAATAAAAAAGCAAGATTAGTTTACACAAATGATGCAACTTCTTTTATGCATTATGACTGATTTATTTATCCCTTTAGGTTGTGCTAGTTTGGTAATACAGCCCGGATAAGCTTGTTGCAATACTATTGTTGTCGCAATGAGAAATTCCGTGCGAGAAAATCTTAATGTTCCCTAATTAATGTTTCACGAAAACTTAAAAAATAGCTACATGTACATGTATACATGTATCCGCTACAGTGCGGCCAAATTTTCAATATCAAACCAAATAAAAAAGTGGCGGAATCGTGATAATTTTTAAGGGGTAACCAAATAATAATTATGTTAAGTGTGGGTTAGGCTTATAGTTAAGAATATATATATTTCACGCGAAATTTTTTACAGTAAAATTTCGCAAGGAACATTTGTTAGAATACAGAAACAAAAATTAACTTATTTGAATTTTTTTCGTTACGAATTGAATCTTGCAATTTATCCTTAAGAATCACCACATGGCCCGAAAGCGGTGGTCGCCCTAAACAAAGTTGTAGAATTTCTCCCTCGCATTAATTCTAACTCCGGCCCACACTATTTATAATTCTCGTATTAATTCTAACTCCGGCCCATACTATTTATAATTCTAGCATTAATTTAAACTCCGAACCGCACTATCTACGCTATGCGGCCAAAAAATTCACTTATATATAAGCATATAAATTTCATAATCTTTAAGGGCTATTAACATGATAACAAGAACTTACTGACTCAAAAAAATACGTAAACTTATAAAGCAAACTATAAACTATTAATTTATGTATTTTATTAAATTTCTAAAAAAAGCCACTGATAAATTTTAAAGCTAGGCTTTTTTTGTCAGTGACTAAGTGTACTGCACTGTATAAGATAATAAAATCTAAATTGAGTAAAAATTATAAATAGATAGACTTATAATGGGAAAATTTTTTCAGAAAACATATAATTTCATTTAAGGTTAGAGTTAGAATTAATGATAGAGTTAAGATTTTATATTATAATTAATTTCGCAAGAAATATTTTTTATTAGAACACAAAGCAATTTTATAGGCAAAGCTTCGAGATACAGGCTATTTTTAAAAATTAGCGTTTGCTTTAAATTTTTTGTTACATATTGATCTTATAATTTGATTGGTTTGCCTCTTTAAATTCATATGTTTCTGGAAAATTTTTCGTCATCTATTATTTGTAAATTGTATGTCAAAATACATGATTTAATATTTTATAAAAAGAGAAAAATATCATTTTTATATTTTTTAAGAACTAAAGCAGATATCAACTATAAAATATATTATTTTTTAGAGAATATTATCACAATGTCAGTTAATATATAGATTTTTGACTTATTAATTTTTCATGTTTTATTTAGTAAAACTTTTTAATTTACATATAATATTTATAAGATTATTTATTTATAAAATTTTAATTTTAATTATAAAATATTATTAAATTTATATTTTACTTAGAATAATTTTTCAATTTTAAGTATATCAGTATTTATAAGCTTAGAAAACTTTATTTATCTTTAAAATATATATAATATTTATTATAATTATAAAATTAATTTATTTATAAAACATTTACTTATATTATAAGTTATTAAATATTTGAAATTATCTTTATTTGTCTGGTATATATAAATGCAAAATTATATTACGTTAATATGAATTTTTAAAAACTTATTTATAATTATATCTCTATATATTTATCTAATTTTTGCTTTTCAAGAGTGATATTTATAGAAAGATCTGATTGTATTTTTAATTATTATTAAATTAATAAATATTAGCTAATATATATTTTAATTAGATCAAATATAATTAATTTTTTAATTCTTATATAAAACTTTAAAATAATTATATATTTAGTATTTGATTTTATTTTTCTAAAAATTTTATATAATTTTTATCTCAAAAAAATATGAAAAAAATTTTATCTGAAAGTTTTTATGATAAAATTGTATAAAGACTGATCAAT